GGGGTCCGCGCGGAGACCCCAAGACAGTTTTTTGCTAATTTTTTGAAATTATCAACATGCTACCAGCTCAATTGTTTTGCAAACTGATGTGGGAACCTCTGTGTCCACATTACATACAAATATCATACATTTTGAACTTTTTCTATTTTTTGGTGAAGAAAAGAAGACAAGAAGAAATACCCGATTTTTAAACCCATTTCAGACTTAAGGGGCTTTTGAGGCCCAACTTTGATCTCAGATAGCGGCTAAACGGCTTGCGCTAGAAGTATCAAATTTGGAGACCTTTTCTAAAATGTCTCTGGAAAAAAGTTCATATTAGTTTTATACTAGTAAGTTGATGTTTTTTTGTGTTGCCATGGCAACGGGTTTCTAGCAGGCAGTTTTTTTTAAATAGAAGTAATTTTGGTTTAAACATAAAAATTTTCTGATTTTTATATTAGATTACACTTCTTTTCCAACATTAATAACATCTTACATAATTAAATATAAGTTAAATCATTTAATATGCATAGAATATGCTAATTTGATGACGTCATTGGTCAAAATCCAATATGGCGGACTATGTTATTAGCTCTGACGTCATATGACGTCATAATTACACCAAAGTTATTAACATTTAATTCTATTACTACACCATTCTCTGAAAACTTGGTAGACATACGATGAATGCATAAAAACATATAAAAACGGAAATAAGGTAATGTATAAGAACGCCAGTGTATCCGTTATGATCGAAAGCCGGCTGGGGTCCGCGCGAACCCCAAAAGAAAATCAGATATAATTTTTTTTATAAATGGTAGAAACGGAGTTTTCTGCACTGTATTGAGAGACAACTTTGTGGGTGACAATTACCTAAAATTTCAGAAAAAAATCTTTAGAAACAAAAAAGATATTACAGAATATATAGTGCTGGGGTCCGCGCGGACCCCAGGTGTACTGTTTAGGGTTAATGTATCATGGCAAATTAAGGAAATTATCAGCAAACGCTCAAAACGACAGAAGCATCGTGTATATAAGTAGCCAACTGTAGTGAGACTTTTCTCGAGATACAATGCAGCCAACCAACGTTTCTTTCCACAGATGCAAGCGTCTTCTCAGCCGAGCTTGACGAATGTGACCATCTCACCCACTGAACGGAACACAACAGGTGCGACCAGCGGCAAAACCTCCCCCCGCGGGCACATCATGATTCCTCGCACAACAGCAATGCCTGAAGAGGAAACATCACCACGTTTCCGAGCGGGATGGGTGCCTATGTACACAGGTATTGTCACTAGTAGCTAAGTGAAATAACTTCTGTAAAAGTGTAAGGTACTAGACAGAATCATAGGCATTTGTATATGACGGAAGGAAAAATATTAAACGATAGCCGATAAACATTTACCAAAGGCGGCATCTTTCTCTATTTGGGCAAGAGTTACCAAGGAACGCATGTCATTGAATATAGTAAAGACTTAATATATTTTTTCTGCCAACTCTAAGTAGAAAAAAAAGTATGGAGATCCTTCCTACTAACGTATTTGCACGGGATGAATTCTAACCTTACCATTGTCTAAATTTGATGATGATGGAATCATTATGCCTTGCGCCCTGCAGCCTACTTGATATCGTTATGCTGTTCTTATTACAGACGAAGATGTAATGGCCGCGGAAGAGATGGCGATGTTCGGTAAGCAAGGCTCGGGGCCGGGGGAGTTTCAGAACCCGCGCGGTGTGGCCGTGTCTGCTGACAACGAGATACTCGTGGCCGACACCTTCAACCGGCGAGTCCAAGTGTTCGACATCGAAGGCGCGTTTCTCCGGCTGTTCCCAGTCGCCACGCCGGAGGGTAACATCGTGGCTCCGGAGGACGTTTGCGTAGCCGGGGACGGCAGCCTGTGGATAGTCGGGAAGCACGCCTCTGGTACCGTCGCCGTGCGGTATGTAACATTGGGGGTTTATAGGCTCTACTGGCCGATGGGTCTTGACCTTTTAGCCGGGTTTGGTCGTGGGTTCGACATTTCCATGGATGTCGAATTCGGAAGAAAAGAAAAGGGGGAGTAGTGGAAGAATAGCTGTCACCCTCGGGTGGGCAGCTAAAGGAGAGTTTTTACTCAATAAACAGTGGGGGGTTTATAGGCGCTACCTATAAACCCCCCGCTCTCAACCGGCCGATGGGTCTAGATCTTTTAGCCGAGTGGTTAGAGCGTCGGCATGTGGACTGGTGCCCGGGTTTGGTCGTGGGTTCGAACCCAGGCCCGGGACCAGGGGTTTTATCTGTTTCTACTCGCTCCTCCTGTTTCTTACAGGTACACCAGTGACGGCTCACCGCGGGAGCAGATCCCTCTGCGCCGGACGGCGTTCTCGCGAGGAATCGCCGTGAACCCGAAGACTAGCCGCGTGGTGGTGACTGAAGCAGACGGACGGGGCGGCGAAGTGCTGATGTTCCGGCCAGACGGAACGAAAGACCAAAGGTACAAGTTCTACAAGGCTTCATCGGGTCAGTTTTCATCGTTCAAAACCCGTTTTTCATCGTTCAAAACCCGTTTTTCACCGTTCAAAACCCATTTCTCACCGTTCTAAACCCGTTTTTCACCGTTCAAAACCCATTTCGCACCGTTCTAAACCCGTTTATCACCGTTCAAAACCCATTTCTCATCGTTCAAAACCCATTTTGCATCGTTCAAAACCAATTTCTCATCGTTCAAAACCCATGTCTCATCGACATCGTTCAGAACCCATTTCTCGTCGTTCAACGCAGGTTCGGGCGGCGGGAAGGGATGATGCACCCCTGGTTCGTCGCTACGGACACGGAGGGGAACATCCTGGTGTCGGACTACAGCACCAAGTACGTCTACATGGTAAGGGTACCATTTAAGTGTCACGAGCATGCAAATGAGGTAATTTGTAAGGTCTTGTAACGCAGATCAGCCTGTGCGACGCTACACACTATAAAGTAGTAGTAACCTCTATGTCAATACTGTGCAACCTTATTCATACTGCTGAATTCCCGTAATTTTTGGAATCTTTGTTCATACCCATTCATATTGATCTTCAAGCAGATCCCTTTCGGCGGCAAGACAGTATCCATTAGCCAGAGAAGGTCACCGGCCACCGTCGGGGTAGGTGGGGGTAGCGACCAAAAAAAAACGGCCAGATATAAAAAGCTAACAATCATTTTCCCGCAACTTCTGCTTGGAGAGTAATTCGTATCCCTAATCCCTTGTCATCCTAGTACAACCAGTCTGGAGGATTCCTGACCAAGTTCGGCGGGCACTTCCGCTATCCGGCGGGCCTGTGCGCGGACGGAGGCGGGAACATCATCGTGGCGGACTCGGGGAGCCGGCGGGTGGAGGTGCTGACCGGTCGGGGACAGCATGTCCGGTTCGCCGCCTCGGGGCACGGGAGGCCCTCGGGTGTTGCCCTCGGGCCGGCCGGACAGATGGTCGTGACCTACGGACTGAAGAACGTCGTGGCCATTTTTACACATCAGGACAGAAAGGTTTGACTGGCAGAACCGTGCTTTATCCAAAATCCAGCTGGATAGTACCAGCGTACCCAGAACCATGCCTGAAACTAACACAAACCATCCAGGCATAGAGCTAGCAAATGACAAATAGTATGTATGGCAACTCATGTCTGTACAAACTAATGGAGATCGGTCTAATAAACAAATCTCTAACATAGTCGCATAAAGTCGATGGCAATTCTAAGAATCTTTCATTTGCACATTTTCTTTATACTACCAATGCAGTGTATTCATTAAATTGTTTTAACTGTTAACTTACAATGCACTGAATATAAACAATCAAAGGCTTACTGAACTACACATTGTAAATATAGAAGTGCAAGTGCATGTAGTTCTGTCTTAAATACCTTGTTCCCTATTACTTATGTGAAGCTGGGCATACCCTCATCTTAACAAGAAATATATTGTCTTCTTAGTGTGTTTAAAGTGCAGCTCTACCCCCAAATGTGGCAAGGTACATGTAGCTTAGTAATGGTGTAGCATGCTTTTATATAAAGACTAGACTGGAATCCAGGAGTGGAAGCTATACCAGCTTCAGTTACCACCACTCTGCCTTCAGGCTATGTTTGTTTGTTGGGATTAGAACCCAGAACCTTTAGATTCTACAACCTTAACCACAAGATCTTTTTCCCACCTTGTTACAACAGCTCAAAGGGCAAAACTGAGAAAAATGAACGACACAGACACAGCTTGCCATTGCATCTAATCGGTACTTGTTGACAAATTTTTCAACATGACAGAGGAGAATATACATTATATTAACTTATACAGCATATTGCCAGGATGTGAGCTTCCTATGCTGAGGATAATAAGGGTCTACCATAAAGTATAATTATGTAAATACAGGCAGTGGTCTAGCCATGCAGATACATGTTCAATGATTGCTTGTACACAATTAATTCTAACATAACATTACAACAATTATATATGAATTAAATATTGCATTATTTTCTACACAATGCAAAGAATAGAAAATAAAGATTATGACAGGAATCACTTCATTTTTTTCTCCTTTTTTTTAAAAAAGGCCTCTGTCAATGTTACCTTCCTGATTGAGCTACACATTGTTTGTCACCACCATCATCAATTTCACCTTCTTCAAATGTCATCTTCTTGCCTCTATGCTAATGCATTGAAGTTGAGTTGCTTGTAACGAAAGTCAACTGGAAAGGGGTTCAACATTTTCACCATTTTTCTCCGCTTGACAACCAAACCGAAGTCCAAGTTCTGATAATATTCATGAAAATGTCTTTTGACCTTGAAATTCAAGATGGCGGATGGTGTATTGCCTCCTACACAGAACTGCACCGAGCCCACAGAATTGCAACTACCAGAGCCTGCCATAGCCACATTGCACTGACTACTATATACATGGTTAGTTCTAACTGTTTCTATAACAGTATAGTATCAAGTTAGAGTTTACATATTATAAAGACACAATTCTACATATACTGGCCTGTGAAACTCTACAATATAATTATCCGAACTGTTACCAGGTATGCTTCCTCAATGTGAATCACAGTTCACTGTTAGATGTTCTGAACAGAAACCCAACAGCATTGTTGACTGGCCTTTGGAAAGGATAAAGGTACTACAAAATTTTTACACGTACTAATTTTACTAAATTACTTCAACATACAAAGTGATTTCTACTAAAGAGTACCAAATAAATCAGGTACAAAACTACAAAAACAACAGTATAATTCTGTTTCTCTTATGTTGGACAATACAGATGTTTTTTTTTCCAGATTACACCAGACTTGCACAAGGCCCACAGCCTCCATTTTTCACAAATTCACTGAGCCTGTACACTGATTTCTGCAAATGCCGATCTCCTAAAACAAGGTCCTTTTCTAACTTGTTTTCCTAACATAACACAGAATACGTAAGTCATACACATTTCTCATGTTTACAGTGCTATAAACTAAGTTCAGTTGACTCCTAAACTTGGTCAGACAATGTTCAATTTATCTTGACGTCCTTTTCTTGACTTGTAAACTCTTGGTCACTTGGCTGTGACAAGCTAATGCCTTTACCGATTTCTACTAATACTTCTTCATCAAGCACTGGGCTTGAAGTTACCAGTCAGCTACCTTTCCATATTTCTGGTATAACAACTAATCTGAAAAGGTGCAGAAATTCCTTCACTTGTCGACCATTCCAAACCTGTGGGGAGAGAAAGACCAATACAGCTGTGAGGAACAACTTGAAACAAAATATTATATCTTCTGCCCTTTGTGACATACATGTATATACATTGTACATTGTACAAACAGTACATGTATTCTACATTTTTGTACATTCTGATGTATCTTATTATGGGACTCATTGGCACCTATGGGCTTGTACATGGACACACCCACCTACATGTACATCTTAATACTGTTACTTCTATAAAAGCCTGGGGTCTCAATGAGGGTTTTTCAGAATCCCCAAGGTACTAGTATTGAGCAAGTAAATACCCACCTGGTTCAAAACATGGACGTAAAGCTAATACTGCCGTCTATTATGGAAGCCAGAGGTCTCCATGGGGGTTTGAGAGAAGCCCCCTGGTTTGACACTGAAGATATTGCACAATAAAATGCCCACCTGTTTTGAAACATGAAGACATAACCCTAATACTGCTGCCTGTTGTGGAAGCCGGGGGTCCCCATGGGGGTTTGGGAGAGGCCCCCTTGTAAAACACGGTAAAAAGTATTACACAGTCATGTAAATACCCACCTGGTTTCAACCATGGACGTAAAGCTAATACTGCTGCCTGTTGTGGAAGCCGGGGGTCCCCATGGGGGTTTGGAAGAAACCCTGATTGTTGCATGCATGTATATGTATCAAGTATGTGCAACACATAAATACTCACCAGGTTTGAAACATTGACATAACCCCTAATACTGCTGCCTGTTGTGGAATCCGGGGGTCCCCATGGGGGTTTGAGAGAAGCCTCCCGGGTTGCTGACGGCCGGCATGAAGCCCATGAGCATGGGGATAGAGTACTGGTCGATGGTGCTGTACTGCTGCATGGGGTTCCCTCCCTGGTCATGCCCCATGGCCTGGCTGGTGGTCGGGATGTGCACTGTCTCCATGTTAGTCAGGGTCTGGGGGGGGGGGACACAAACAATGATGAGTGCAGTAAATATAAGGAGAGTTATCTTTGTACCTGTATCTACATTTGTATAGCCAGTATAACCGTCTTCATGTTAGTCAGGGTCTGGGAGAAGACACAGAGATTATAAAATTTGAATACAGGAAATATAAGGAAAATTATCAGTATCTGTATCTGTATCTACATTTTGCACATCTGTATAGTCAGTATAACCATCTCCATGTTAGTCAGGGTCTGAGAGAAGACACAAGCAGGGATGAGTACAGGAAATTTAGTTCAAGTTACTTATAAGTTTCTTGCACTACACTACTTGGCTGTAACAAAACAGGCAGAAACTATGTATAGTACATGTATAGTTCAATATATATGTAGTATGTATTTACAAAATGTCCTTACTCTTTTCAATGACAAATTTTGGGCTACAAAGGTCTTGTCCTATTGAGGTACATGTAGGGTATGCTTCACAGTAGCATCCGGGCTGTACTCCACATAAGTCAAGCAAGCCAAGTTACAAAGGTCTACAGCCTCTTATGTAGTACATGTATAAAGCTGAACCACTATGTGTGCTTTTTACTAAGTTAAACGTTTTCCCTTTTCACACAATTACATTTTGAAATGTCATGAATAGGGCTCCCAGACATGAAAGGTCTGGCAAGGGGGAAGGGGGTTGAAGATAGTTGTAGGAAGTTATACTAAGGACCTGTGACTTGTAAGGCCTGGGATGGGATAGGGGGTTGGGGGCAGCTAACCTGTAAAGCCGGGTGTTCCATGTCCTGCCCCCTGTCCACGGTGCTGACGCGAGGCCCAGGCTTGGGCAGGCTGCGCGCCTGGGACAGCTGGGACAGCTGCACGTTACTTATGACTTGTAAGGCCTGGGAAAGGGGATGGGTAGATTTGTAGGAGCTAGAGTACCTGTAATGCCGGCTGCTCCATGTCCTGTGCCCTGTCCACAGAGCTGACCCTGGGCCCAGGTTTGGGCAGGCTGCGTGCCTGGGACAGCTGCACGTTACTTATGACTTGTAAGGCCAGGGGTGGGGGAAAGGGGATGGGTAGATTTGTAGGAGCTAGAGTACCTGTAATGCTGGCTGTTCCATGTCCTGTGCCCTGTCCACAGAGCTGACGCGAGGCCCAGGCTTGGGCAGGCTGCGTGCCTGGGACAGCTGGGACAGCTGCACGTTCCTGTCCATGGACATGCTCATGGTGTGGGAGGGCAGAACATACTCCTGACGACTCGTCATCTGGGGGGGAAGAAAGAACAAGAAAATTCTAAATAAAACTTCTCAGAGAACTGTTTTGTGAGTAGAAAATCTATTAGTATTTCTAGTATTTCTAAGTTTTGAGGCTCTAAACAACACATGGACAGCTTTTTTTTCCAAAGTCATTGTTCTTATGAGCTCTGCATATTTCTAATTACCAATGAGAGCATTTTACACAAGTTCAGCATTACGATTTCCTTTTCCTATTAGAAGTGGTGGTGGCTTGCTGGCATGTAATACTGGTAGTTGTAAAAGACTACGTTTTACGATTCTGTGTTTTTCTTTACAAGATCATCTTGTAATCTCTTTTATGGATATATAAACATAAAAAATTGTGTACAATGGTTTAAATGTTACAAGACTTTCACCAACACTGTTAACACTATTCCCAGAATCTTATCCTTTGGTAGAACAACTTCTACCTGCAGCTGTTCCTGATTGGTCATCTGCAGCGGCGCCCGTTCCCGCTCCCCGTATCCCTGGTCCCGCAGTACCTCAGTCCGCAGGGCCTCGTTACGGAGCACACTCAGGTCGATGCTCTGTGGCGCGGCCATCTGCAGGAGTTCACGTCGGGGAGCCACGTTGTCAGGGCTGGCTGTGAACGCTGAACTCTCAACCTGTGTACATAATAAACATACAACGTAAGGGCTAATGCCTA